GTGTGTGTGTGTGTGTGTGTGTGTGTGTGTGCGTGCGTGCGTGCTGAGGGTGTGTTTTCTAATCTGAGTTTGAATTGTATGGTAGTTCAACTTGAGGTCAAGCAATTGTCCTATTGTGGTTGTGTATCACACACAGAGCTGACGAAAGCAGAAAGTCTGAAACACACACAGATCACGACACGGGAAAGGAACAAAGGAAGGAGTTTATAGGTACTTTCACTGAAAAACAATCAACTCCAAAGGGCCTGAAAACAGGTTTCACATGTGCAAAAATAAGTAGCTGTCATAAAAGTTTCAAAAATATCCACCTGAATTGTATTCACAACCTAATGATTTTTAAGTGAAGTCAATCAACTAAGATCTGTAAAAACAAGAACTAGTATTTTCTGTGAAAACTGTTAACACTGAGTGCTAAGTGACCTTGCTAAAATTTGCCGAATAAGCTGAAATTGAGTCTTTAAAGCTAAAAGATGAACACTAGCTAAGAGGATAAAACAATAGTTGAAAGCAGCAAAAGTCTGGCTAAAAGCTAGCATATAAGTACAAAAATATTTGAAATGTTCTGAAGCAGATTTCAGAACAACAGTGTTTTAGAAATAATCGAAGATATCTCAGGAAAATGTAAAACAAATAAAAAATGTTTTTTTTGTAAAATGTGAAAATACCAAAGCTAAAAACACCAAAAGTAACAGCACCTCCTCAATAAGCTGAATATGAAAAGTTTTAAAAGTTAAAAATTGTGGCGACGTAGAGTGCAAAAAATAAACACGCAGGAAAACAGTTTTGTCAATTTATATTAGCGTTTACTTGAGCTTCAGATTACGCCTCCTGCCACTCACACTTTTTTCATTTTCAAATTACGGAAAACAACCTGACACTTCAACTTCTTCCTGGTGGAGAAACTACAACTTCCTCGTTTTTTTTTTTTTTCTTTTTTGTGGAATGAAATTGCATTTTTTCAGTCACGTGGCCTGCAGCTGAACTCTTTCACATTCACCATTTTTTTCCTCACTTTGATCAAAGCAGACCTGCTCGTGAGCTGAGCCTCCTTGACAATTTAAAGTGCAGCACATGCCATTTTACTCTTAACCTGCGAGCGAGAACAGCCCGAGGGACAACTACAGTTTCAGACGTGGACCTTTGTGAGCATCCGCACACACATTCACGTGCCGAGGTGAGAAAAAGAAAATGTTGAAACGTCACTTATATGAGACCCATCTGTCTCAAAAAGTAGAACAACCGCCTGCGGGCCGGGGTTAAGTATAGCATTGACTCCTTGGAGAACCGTGTGGTTCCAGGAACATACCATTCCTCTGAGAGTTCACCTGTCAAACAGGTGCGTTTTTTTATGTGAGGCCCCATTTTTTTTAAGTGAACCCGAGAACAAATTGGGTTGTTGGGGAAAAAGATGTTCGGTTTCCTATTCTACAGTGTGAATGCAAAGAGAAACCAAGAAGATGCTCTGATCTGGGAGGGAAAAGGGGTTTTAATAAAATTGACTTATTTTATTCAGAACATAGTGGTTAGGGTGGTGAGTTCAACAGGCATGGATTATAACGTGTGCACAAAACTGAAACAATCGGAGGAAAGAAGCCTAATTTTGCTGCGCAGTATTTTACTCAGGGATCAAATTATTAGCTGTTAAAACAATAAACTATATGTCTTTTAGCACCTGTTCAGTAATTCTTCCTGTGTCTTTTAGTAAAAACATTTCACGACTCGACAGATTTTAACGAAGCGTCGTAAAAGTAATCACCGGTTGCATTTTGGATCAATTTTGATGAAGCCTGTAAAAAAGTAATTATCGCGCGCACAGCTCTTTAATGTTTGACGTCAACCTGACTCAAGATGGCTGCCTTTGAAAAACAGAAAAATTACCATAACTCAGTCAATTTAACAGAAATGAAGGTCAAACTCAGTATGGTAGTAGCTGAGAGGCATCTCCAACACATACACTGAGCATAAACATGTCGAGCAAAAGCTCGTTTTAAAACTTCGGCGTGCAAGGCAACAGGCGACGCGCATTCCTTTAAGTATTTCTAGTTTTGGTTCTGTATTATTACACCAAACAAGTCATATCAATGTGAGATTTTTCCAGCTGCAGTAACTCCTGGAAGTCAACAACCTCCTTCAGCTGCAAGATAGAGATCAGGCAGTTGTTGAATCCTCTTTTCAGACCCCCCCCCCCACCACCCTTAAGTGGTAAAGGAGCCAGCATGTGTTGTGGATAAACGGTACGTAAGAAGCCCTAACCCTGGGTGTTG